CTTGAAAAAAACACGGGGGGTGCTTAACTTTTTCCAGGTGTATATAATACAAACTTGTTCAAATTTTTTCTGCTAAATTGAAAAGCAGTAGAAAAGGCCTGTATTTCATTCTTCAATGCTATTCATTCAATTTTCCATTTTACTAAATTCCAACTTTCTTAATTTCGAATGATTTTTGGATGTTTGCCTTCAGTGGTTTGTATCTGTTCCAGGCTGCCAAAGTCAGTTCTTTTACCTGTTTTGTTGCTTATTTTAATGTCTTCTAATATATGCCTAATAACTGCAAAATCAAATATCCTTTTTCTGCCATACAACCACAACTACGTAGCCCATTCCTGATACTTTGCAATGTTATTGAGCTCATACCCACAAGACTACTTTATATTCAATATCAGACCATGTTTATTGAAAATAGAAAAACAAACTTTTATCTTTATACAAAATTAAAAAAAAAATTTGGAATAGACATTTTAGGCACTTGGTGTAAGTTCAAGCATCTCTTTCACATTTTTTTGCATGAACTTGTATTAAAAAAACAACAATAACACAACTGATATGAATTATTTCACAATGAACTTATTTTAAACTTTATTTGAATTTATTCAACCACCATATAATAATAATACAAATAAATTTAAATTCCTATAAATCAAAAAATAAAAATAATGTATCTACCCAAACCTCAAAATCTTTTCTAGAAGAATCCCTCTATTTCAGAAAACCAAATTGACTAATATTCTATTTAACCTGTGAAACTGACAATTAAACTTTGAGCAAAAGAATGTTTTAATGAAAGGCTTGTCTTTCTGCCCTACAGATACGGTTAACAAGGAGGACATCCTTACAGACTTTTAATTACTTGCATGACAAATTAATATAAAAAAATATTTTTCGATAACAAACTGTTAACTCTGTGGGATGTCCAACTTTAACTACGTTTAAACCACCTCAAATTTAATATCAGGAGAACAAGCTCCTCAAGAAGAGCAGTATAATGCAATAACATGCAAATAAATTATAAATACAGATTTTAATCAAGCACACTGATGTTCAGACCTATTGGCAAAAACACAGGTAGGCCCTTGAAAGTCTCCAATCAAATTGAAACATCTTTATTAAACCTGCAAGCAAAGGTCCAGCCATTGTCATTATGACAACATAACGACAACTCTTTATATGAAAAATTAAACTCAGACCCTACAGACAAGTGTAGAGAAAGGATTTTCATTGCATTACCCAGAACAACTAAACATAATGAATTTAAGTTTCAAATGGACAGCAACTGCTTCTTGTAGAAACCTACAAATGTAGAGGACGACTTTTCAAAACGTCGCCCTCTACATTGGAAACTTAGATTCATTATGAATACTCTGCCTAAACAACCTATCAAAGAAAACAACTAAACAGTTTTATTCCAGATCTTATTCCCAACAACCCTCAATTATTGAAATGTATTTCTTACCAAAAATACACAAAACTGGTCACCTAACTAAAAGAATTTTGGTCCCTGTATATTACTATTTACAACCACTAATCTTAAAATTAGACTCCTTCGTAAAAGATTCCTAATCTTACAGCTAGACTCCTATGTAAAAGATTCCTTACATTTTCTAGAAAGATTACACAATTTACAGTTTCTATTTTTTTGGAAAACACCATCTTAGTAACCATAGAGGTAGTTTCTCTATATACCAATTTACCCTAATATCAAGTGTTCAGTCCATAAAAGAAGTTTTTGAACTCTATGCCATTTCTGGTTTTCCTGCCTAGTATCCTTAATGTACTGTGTTTTGGTCCTCGTTTATTTCAGCTTTGATGATAAGTTTTGTCACCAAATGGACACTAAAATGGCTCCTAGTTATACCAATCTTTTTATGGGCAGCTTAAAAATTTCCTTTTTCAAACAAAGTCCACTAAAATCATTGTTCTGGGATTGTTTCGTATATGACAACTTTATTATCTGGACATCTGACACAGATAGTTTAAATACGTTTCTCATACAATTAAACTTTTAAGTTCTCAAATTTACTCATACCACAGGAGGATGAGTAAGGTACATTAAAACTATTTTGGAGCCTGACCACATCATTACAGTCCTTGTTGCCACATCCAATCATGCTGTAACAACCATGCATCTTGACAATAGCCCTGGAGCATAGATTCCATTGCAAAAGGCTCCATTGTAAGACTGTCATGTCCAAAGCATAACATTTCTTCCTATGAGTTTCTATAATTCGTCTAGTATATGAAGATAGTTGTTTCCCAGCACCTGTTTCAACAGTCCAGTGTCATAGAAATCCATACTTCCTGCATCTGGTGACTTGATCAGTATATATATTCATACAGAATAGTATGAATACCATTTCATTCTCCAGATGCTTGAAGGTATGACTGGAAGCCTTATCTTACTGAATCCATACCTTGTTGACCTCGTTTCTGGACAAAGCTATATTTTTGTGTGGTACAAAGGGTCCAAAACATTGCTTTGATAGTTAGTGGAGTTCACCTTGACCTTTGTATCCACACTCCTGATCCATTATTTGCCTGTAGTATCCAGTGTTGACCATGAGTCCTTTTGAAAAAGTATAAGCATGTTATGCATGCACACTAATCAACCAGTTATACTTCTTTTATCTCTTATGCACTCTTTCCCTCTGTTCCCAAAAGGAAGGTTTCTAAGATCAAAAGCTAGGGTATGTTTTTTTTTGTTTGGTATTTTTGTCATTTTGATTAATTGTCTTATTTATATTTCTCTTTATCTTTCACTCACATTTCTTCAAACATTTGTTATCTTCATTCAATAATTTTAAAATTCAGTATGTCATAGACTTAACATATATTTGTTCTCTGACTTCGTTTTTCGTGTAAAAAAAAAGAACTACATTTATGACATTAATTACAATTACTTAGTCTTACAGGTTTTTAACATAATGTGTAACTTTTTTCTAATCTAAGCATGTCTAGCTAAAATATATTTTTTTTACCATTTAGAGAGAATAACAGAAAACTGTAAGATGGTAGCTATTTAAAGTTAAATTGTTTAAATATACTTTTGAAACATACATAATGAGGACATTGAATATGAATTGCCTGGTGGCTCAGCAGTAAGTCTGTCGGCTTACAATGCTAAATATTAGGTTTCAAAACCTTCAGTGGGTACAACAAAGATAGCCCATTGTGTAGCTTTGCTCTTAGTAACAAACAAGCAAAGAGCTCTGTTTTCTTTTCATCATTACTTTAAACATGATCTGCTCCATTTCTAAATAATTTTGTTCTTTTAAAGGACACTATAGTCTGTATGGGCAGTATGTAAAGAATTATCAATTCAGAAAAAGCCTTAATTTGGTGATTTTGTCTTTAATTACTAAATATAGGAATACAGTTTTGAAGTTTTCTTCTTATTTTCTTTTATGCATCAGTTTTCTCCTAAAACAGAAATAGTCACATAAGAATTAATGAAAAAAAGTTTTATTGTATTTTTGACCTTCCACTAGTTCATTGTACTAATGTTTTTGACAATAATTTAAACACTAAATTAGACTGGAACTACATGGAATACTGTTATGTAGGAATACAGTGTATGAAATTGTAAAGTGTTTTAAATTGAAAGTTCTAAATTTTAAAAAATCAAAGTTAGAAACCATTAATTGAACATAAAACAACAAAGTTTTGAATGCACAGACCCCACTTCAAAGTATTAATTAATATAAAAAAATTAAAATAACTGTGTAATGTGATAGGATTAGTTTAGTCAGAATATTCTATAACCTCAAAATAATAGCCTTTTTGCCAATTCCTTTCTTTAGACATGCGAACTTGTGAGTGTATAACAAATTGGATGGCTCACAGCGGAGAAGTTTATTCAACACAGTTTAGCACAGATGAGACCGCTTGCTACACAATGGGAAGTGATGGAAAGGTGAGGGTTAAGAAAACTTAAAAAATATGAAATTTGACACCCAAGAGTTTATTAGTTATATCAAGCTAAAGATCTTGTGGTTTAAAACAGAGGCATGCTGATTAATCAGCAACTAAATGGTAACTGGCCTAAAAGGCCAGAATGTAGATTAATCAGTGGTATTTGAAACCAATTACTGTGGAAATGAATAGAGATATGAAATTGAGTTTTTAAGTCATTACAATATAAAATAAAGTGTAAGCAACTGTATTAAGTTTGTCTTACAGTATAAAATAATAATAAAATTTATTAATGAAAGCTTTTTTTCTTTTAAATGTGGCTATAATGGGCCCAAGGCTTGAGGGGGGGGGCAAGCCATTGGACCCTAATGGATACTTTAACCATGTACACGATTTTAACAAATTTTTTATAGTTAAAACATACAGTATGGTTAATATATAATACTATATCATTATTATGTTTAATTTATTATATTAATTAAATACATCAAAATTATTTATTCTGATATGATCACTCACCACTGTACACGGAAAGTTTTCTTCTTGAAGTTGCACTAATCTACCTGTGAAACTTATATGCCACCAGCCTTATGAGAATTCCCACCTAAATTTCACGTGAAACATGAATTTGCACTACTGCATGATGATGTATCATGCAGCAAAACCGTTTACCAATAGTAGTGCAACACATCTCCTTGCACAAATCTACATTCATGTGGGAAATCCCTCATTCTTTTCTTTGGCACAGTTGTACAAAGACATGTTTATTTTTGCTGTGACTTGTTGAAGTAAAATACTTCAACAATTTGTGTTGCCAAACTTTCAATATGAATTCACAATTTAACATGAATTCTTTTTCTGTTTAAGTGAATACAAATATCACTCACAATTACCAACAATCTAGGAAGTACTTTGCCTCTTGAGATCGTGACGGTCATCGTTCAAGGCGTAGTGGGTTCCAGGCTGCTGCAAGGACTCTCTTCTCCCATCCTTGCCACACCATTCGCTTCACAGGATTTTCAATCTGAAGTTAAGATGGATAAAATGAAGGTTTTTTTCGACCTCCTGTCTTTGACTAGAGTACCTCCTTTCCTTCTGAAGAACATGTTTGATCCTTTCCAGGTTTTCTAAGAACTTATTACCCAGGTATATACCATTATTTTTCCTTCCCACATTTCTTATAATGCTTCCCTCTCTTTTACAAAATCCTTCCACTCATGATTTCTAAGTTTATTTCACCCACCCATGATATTTTCGCGTTTCATCCTTCCTAAAACAGATTCGTTCTCACAATATTTTGCCACATCGTCTGTACCTTATAGCTTCCTATCTGATTTCTTAATGTCTCTCTCCCTACCCTTCCTGGAATCAGATTTGCAGTCTGGGAGATGCAATATTTGTTGGCTGTGTCACTGTCCTGAACCCACATTTCTCAACTTTGTGCTTTCCTTGTTACCCTCCTTTGTTACCTTCCTCTCATTCTCATATAGTTCCAGCTTCCCTGTCTTCCACCTCTTACTGTTCTCCTTCCACCCAAAGTCCCCAGTTGCCCTAATAGTCAGTGACCATCTGGTTAGTTCAGGTCCTGTGGGACCCTGTCCATTCCAGTTTTGCTCATTATTTGTAAGCTCAATTTGATTCAGACATATGTATCATTCTAGTCCTGACCCACAGTTTAGCCCTCCACTTTCTCCCCTCCCCTCTTTCTCACCCTATCATAGCCTTTCTTTTCTCCTTCAATTCCAGCTTTCCCACATCATCTGGATGGGGTGGTTTTGAACTTGTTGGAATAACAATCCACAGACTGAGTTTGACCCTTTCTCAGTAATTACTTGCCTCTTTATTATCCCCATGATAATAATAATAATAAAACCTGGGGACTAGTGCCCATTCATTGGCTGATCATTCATCACTTGCATTTTGGTTGTCCTTCATTTTTGGAAGAATTACTTCTTTTTCCTCTGATCTTCCAACCAGACCTATGGATCACCTAAGCAAATGGGTAGGATGAATTTCTCCATGTTCCTATAGCCCCTGTCTCGTGACCGTGCTTCAGTTTTGTCCACTGGAACCGTGTCTATCAGTTCTGTAACCTTCCCTTTGGAATAGCCTTAACCCCATATGTTTTTCATCACATTATGAGGTCTTTTGCTTGTCATCTACACAGTCTGGGACTATGGTTCCACTTCTACAAGGTTGACAGGCTTCTCCTTTCCCTAGTGGAATTTGAGGATCAAACTTCACTTCTGCATCATGGAGCTGCTTGCATGGGATTGCTCATTCACATTTTCAACTCCTTTTACCCTTTCTCAATATCTTATTCAGCTCTAATTACTTTTTAGCTCTCTCTTTAGATATACCCAACCTTATTCTCCCCAATTACTAGACCTTGTACATCTTGCCACCTAAGACCGTTCCTTTCCTTAGGTTAGGTTCTCTCTTTGGGGACTATGGCTTCTGTGGATCCTATCATTTCACTCAGCCATTCTCCTACTTGTCATTTCCAGTAAGCCCTAAGCGACTAATGGAACCTGTCCAAAGATCCCCTGTTCTCATGGGTCCTCCTTTCTACCCATTTACTAGAGAATCTTGCCTGGTGGCTGGATTGCTTCCACTCCATCATTGGTGTTCCCTTACCTCCTCCCTAGCCTGTCTTCTCCTATTCTCCACTCATCCCTCACCAGGTGGGGAGCATTCTTGTATGTCTCATAACAATCATCGAGTGGGCACTCGTTCCAGTATCATCATCTTCTAGATGTTAGATCTCCTCTTTTGGGCCCATTCAAATCGGGAGAGCTTGATTGCCTTCCATGATCTGTGTGCTGTGGACATTGTTGCAGACTGTCTCTCATGACAGGACTGTTTCCCACCCATGGAATTGTCCCTTCATCCACATATTTCCATTGGGTTCATTCCCAACTTGGTATTCCTTTATTAGCTGCATTTGCCTCACCACTCAATACTGATTTGCCCCCATTCTGGTTTTCTGTTCTCCACCCTTCAGCCGTGGCTGTGTATACTCAGTCAGGGCTGGCCTCATCCCCTCTTCTATGCCTATCATCTTAATTGCCTTCACACCAGTGTTCTTGCTGTGTCTCAGAACATCCAGTACTGAATACTGTTGGTCACCCACTTCCCAATACTGGCCCACCCAACCTTTGTACTGTGTTATTTGTCTCCTCTCGACCAAACCTCCTCTTTCCACAAAAAATAGGGTTTCATGGTTATCCGTTGCACTGTCTCCAGTAAAAGACTTTCCTGGCAGGTGCCTGATGGGGATCTGGGCCTATTCTCTGGGTCTCCCCTACACTAATTCTCTCCCCCCCCCCCTCGAGTGGAGGGTGGGAGTCCCTTGCCATTTAACATTTCCTAGGTCAACAATTATGGTGGTCACCTGTAATGATATAGTAAAGAGCTATGTTAAAGTATTGGTTTTTATTGCATTATAAATCATTAATTGACCAGAAAATGAAATTTATATTTTAAGAGGTCCTATAGTTATTATGATATATTTTAATTGTGTGTTTTAGTTATGGTGACTTTCATGAGTTGATAATGTTTACTTGTGCAAGGCCAGAGTTAGCCAGTATAATGACACCAACGTGGAAAGGGCTAATTTAATCAATACTTAAAATTAATTTATAACTATTTGGATTCAAACATATTTACAAAATGACTGAGAGGATATGAAG